TCATCCTCCTGCTATTATCTTCAATTTCAGACAATCTATAATTACAGAACCAATTCTAGAAAACACTGTTCTCAAAAATAATACTCATAATAATTAGCATTTACATTGAATTTCACCACTTTTGAAGTATTTTTAGCAAAGCTCAAAGGTAATCTCACCCAATCTTCTTAAATGATAAAAATTCTTGATGTACGTAGATTTTGTTATACTTGAGGGAAATTCAGAGTCATTTTTGTTTAGTGTAGGGGAGCAATGAGGTGGGATATACCCTTAAAGTATACCCCAAATTCATCTTATTTGAAAATGTTGTGAAGAATAATTACACACACACACAACCCTAGACACACACCAACTGGCCCCTCAGTTAAACATTGTTTATGGATAATTACCAGCCTATGAACTGTAACTTGTTCTAAGAGTTTGCTTTTTCACAAGAGTTTCTTAGGGCCACTAGCCCTAAGAAAGAGGAAATGTAGTGTAGTGGAAAGTGTTAGGTCAAAACACTTCGCTGTGTGACCGACGTACCTGTCCTGCTTTCCTCACAGTATTGTTATGAAGCTCAAATGAGATGCTTCTTGTAAAAGTTCCAAAATTATCTTCCTTTCTGAGAACAGCTATTTGTTGACTTTCAATTAAAAAATACATTTAAAAAGTTTCAAACTATTCTTTATTTGGCACTGAAGCATACCAGATTGATTTTCTTGGGCCCTAGTTCCACAATATTTGAAAATGGTTTCAATTTAAAGTTATGAGGTTTCTTCTGTCCATTGTGATTGTGATTATGATCAGTCCCATAAACAATGAACAGCAACTATAGACACCCTTTCTGAGTATTCTCCCAAAACATGCACACTGCCTAATAGAGATGTATGCTCTCGTACATGGATAACATCAAAACACACATGGCAGAGTCAGTTCAGCTCAATGATCTGAGTCTCATTTCTAGAATGCAGAATGCTTCTATGAACTAATTTTAGTAGAGCTTTTGATTAAGTTTTGGTGTTAATCACATTTCATAAGTGCATAATTAAAACTGTTAAAAATATGGCACACTATATAAGATTGGTTCATATCCTAAACCCTCAAACATACTCATTTTGACTTTTGCATTTATACCAATAATTGTCTTAGTGTTCTCTTACTAAAAGCAATTGAAAAGCAGGGACCTAGTATGTGTTTCTGGGGAGATTTTATTTATTTGACAGAGAGAGAGAGAGAGAGGAAGAGCACAATCTGGGAAGATTTCTCTAGAACTAGTGCCAAAGAGAAGCAAAGCCATCACTCTTAACCCCGCAGGTAGAAGTCTATGCTAAATACTGTCACCCCTCTACATGACAGAGGGTGTGACTGTGCAGGTTTCTGCCCCACGCTATGTAATCATTACTTTCTTAGGATAGGTAATTTCCTAGTTATTTCAATGAGACAAAATCACAATACCAAAGAATCCAGAAGGCATTGTTTTGGAGCATGTAGCCTATGATATGACATGATGACTATGCTGGGAGAACTGAGGATTTTGTTTTAACAACTAAGTTTAACATATTTTAGAAATGAGAAAAAAAAATATGCTCCTAGACATTATGTAGGGTCATGATTCCAGACTTTCTTTCCAAACTTCAGTTTCTGGCAGTTTGAGAGAGACAGTGTTCTGTGCTCACACAGTGGTTCCTCTCCCTGGGCCACGGCCTTCTTTTCCTAGACTGCCTTGCAGTGCGCTGGGGAATGTCACTGTGTTCCCATCAAAGGTGACAGAGGACACAGCCAGGCCTGGCCTTTAAAAACATGCAGTGCCAATTTCTGGCTATCTTTTCCCCAGATGCCACAATTTCTTCCAGTTGGCTTAGATATAAAATGAAGGATGCCGCCCAAACCAGACCAGATATTCTACTGATGAGAAAAAAACCTCAAAAACCTAATCTCAGGTAAGCCTCTGAGATTGGGGGTTAATTACCTCTGTCACATAGGCAGGGTAAAACCTGACTTACAGAGGCAGTATGACAAATTAGTACCCTGACCAACTTAAAACAATAAAAAGTGCTAGAAAAAAGGTAAAGAAGTCTTTTAAAAGGCATCAAACATCTGGGTTTTTTTTAAGGATACTCAGAAGTCAAAACCTAAGGTCTGACTGAAAAAGAAAACCAAATCTAACTTTCACCTTTGAAATATTTGGTGTTTACCAAAGCAGATGAACTTGAGCTTTGATTTCCAAGGCATCCAAGTATGGAAGGTCATCAGGAGACAAGGCCCAAGGCCTGCCGACGCTGGGAGTGTAAAAGGAGACTGCACCATATAAAGCAGAGACTTTCAGTGTAAATGAATATAAATAACACTCCCACTGGACCACTAGGAAAACTGCCCAACCAAGCCCTGGTACTCTGCAGCTGAGAAGAGGGGGCAAGTCTCCCCTGAGCACCTGTAACCTAGCAGAACTGCTAGAATTCACAACACCTAGATGGTCAAAAAGTCTCCACAGATGTCCTAGGTTGTTAATGTCTACAAAAACCGGGCTAGGAGTCTGCTCTAAATTCTCCGTGGACTCATTTTTAACTCACACTTCAAATAATTTCCACAGGTGAAGTTCCCAGAAATAGAAGGTCATAGCCAAAAATCATAACACACAGAAGGAATCGAGGTTACAAAATATAAAAGTGAAAGTGAATTCTAGACAGTGGACTTATAAAGACCACAGGTATTAGAATTACTCTTGACAATAAAGTAAGTATGACAACTATGTTTTAAAGAAAGGATCTTGAAAAAGTGAGTAGAGGACAAGCATATAAGAAAGAAGAATCATGGCAGGAATTTAAAACTCTGTGGATGGTTTCAGCAGCAAAATAGACATGGCTAAAGCAGAAGAGTGGTAGAGAATATGGGTGATGAGCTTCAGAATGCAGCCCGGGGAGGTTAAAGCATACAAAACGTGAAAGAGAGTTTTGAGATACACATGATACAACTGGAGGATCTTAATTACAGTTAATTGGAGTTGCCAAGGAAGGGAGGAGAACAGTACTAAGACAATATTTGAAAAACTAATGGCTGAGTTTTCCAAATGGATGACAGACAGCAACCTGTAAATGGAGGAAATCCAGTGAATCCCTAGCTGAAGGCATCTTAGGAAGTCCACAATTATACACATTATAACGATGGTACAGAACACCAAACACACTGAACAATTATTAAGGGCAAAAGTCATTTTTTCAGATGGGGCTTTTTCTATCAGTTAATCTTCCCTTTTTTACTTTTTAAAAATCGTTGTACTGCAGCTTCAACTAGTAATCTATTCACTAGAATATCTACCTACAGTCAAGTTACAGGTGACTACTTTAGCAATCACACTATCAGTTCAATATAATATAGTAAAGCTCAATGATTTATAATAGTAGAAAGTTTCACGCTTCAGAAATTGTTAGGAGATTAATAGGTATTTAACAAACACATAATTAGAAATCTAAGAAGCATAGCTGCTCATGTCATACCACTAAGTGAAATATTTTAATGACTTCCCATTACCTAGAGCAAAAATGTCCATACTCCACAGTGCAGAATTCAAGGCTCTTCATGATCTAAGTAGTTTTCTAGTCTTATCTTCCTAGCATTTTCCATACTGCAGATCCTAAGACATGCCCTGTGCCTCTACCCCTCTTTAGTGGCTCCTTCCACCTTGTGTGGCTTCCTCACCATCTCCCACAGCAAACATCAACTCATCCTCGAAGATTCTGCTCCAATGTAGCCTCAGGAGAATGAAAACCAGGGATTTTGTCTCTTTAGTTGGCTGCCACATCCCTGGGTAAGTAAGTGCCTGGTGTATAGCAGGTAACCAATAAATATTTGTTGAATTAACTGAGTGAATAAAATGTGAGTGCCTCTGAGTGGACTTTCCTTACTATACTTATGACCAAATCATATAATCTTTCATCTCATTTATGTACCAATCTTTTAATGGTGCTTTATGTTTTTATAAATGACTTCTTTGCTAGAGAACAAAGATCACATTACTAGTGTTCTTAGTCCTCAACTGCATAGCAGTGGAATAAATAGCAGGCACTCCACAATGGTTGTTGACTAAATAAATGGACAGTATGGAGTTTGAAAACGGAATTCTTCAGCTCCCTTTTCACATCTCATAGGAAGTGTTCCAGAAAACAACAAAGGTAGGCAATGCAAAGAGCCAGGAAAAAAAAAAAATGCAAAGCTGGCTGAACAACAGGGAGCATGCATTGTACCTATATTAACCAAACAACAATTTTTAGGTAATGACATGCTACAGATGGTGGATAGCAGATGGGTAGAAGCAATGCTGTAAGCAGTACATTATGATGAGAGGCAAAAAAGAACAACTGTACACTATCTTTTAAAAATGTTACCAAATGATTATTTTTCTAGAGGAATTCACTGATCAACCCTATAAAACTAATTTAATAAGAATTCTATTCTAAGCACTATGTTGATAGAAAATTTCCTTGATATTCATCATGGGAAGTGAATGATATGATCATTAGAAATTTATTCCGAGGCAGTAAAATTAATAAGCAGGCAACTTATGAAGAGTAAAAGCTAAGGATTTTCTTTTTAGTGCTTAACAAAATCAAATCCAGTTTCCAATTATAACGACAACACTGAAAATATATGAGAATTCCATTTGAAATATTTGCCAAGCTTTGTGTTTCCTCTGTTGAGATTTTTCTCAAGTGCCATTCACATTCAGCTGCTCAAAATGCAAAAGTGTTAAATTTAATTCTTAGTCAATTTAATTAAAAGTTACAAAATATTGTTTTTCTGGGCATAACAAAATGAAAACTTTGAGGCGTCTCCTGTACATTTTTGCTGTTCCATGCTCTGAGGCAGTAGACCAGGGTAGACACAAGTAGGCAAACATGGTCAACTTCACTCATGTGTCAACTTCGAAGACACACAGTAGGCTTATGTTTTCTGCAAGTCTACTCAAATGTTAAAAGTTCTGTGGAAGCAAACTGCTGACATTATATTTATTCTTCACTTACTGGCTGAAGCAGGTAGATGAGAGATTCCTCTTGGATTATTATAATTGGCACAGGAGTGTAGCACGTAGCTTGGAACAGGGTGTTCACAGATGCCATAATCTGGTCAAAACGCCCACCAAGACCTCCCAAGGTCACAATTACATCCACCTAAGCAAGGCAAAACAAAACTGAAAGTCACATAAAGTATTTTCAATAATTAAATAGCATCTAACAATGAAACAGCTTTCAATACTGTATTTTATGTGATAAGCCTTAGAGAAATGGTAGATATCACTTCTGTTGTTCAGATGAAGGAATGAAGTTACTTGTTTAAAGTCACATAATTGGTGAGTAGCACTCACATTTCGAGACCAACTCTTTCAAGTACAAATTTTATGTTTTTCCCATCTGCCTGCTGACCTGGAAAACTAGTCAACTCTTCCTTTACAGCTCTGTTTATGTGTTCCTTCCATTTGGAATCTTCCCTGATTTCTCAGCTGGTGCCTCTCCCATCCATCCCCATAGCATACCCATGGGCTCTTCTTATAACACACAGGTTTGTCGCCCCACTAGAATTCAAGTACCTTGAAGACCTGTACCATCTTTTTACTGAACCTAGCAACATTGCCTAAACTCTCAGGGCTTCATTTTTATGTTCACGTGCAAAAACTGGATAGTATTTGCCAATTGATAAGGTTGTTGCAGGGTTTAAATGAGGTAATTAAAGGAGTTAAGTGTAAAGCATTTAGAACATGTTCATGACATGGTGATTGTTTAAAAAATATTAGCTATTATTCTCTTGCCATTTGCAACAATGTGGATGGAACTAGAGGGTATTATGCTAAGCGAAATAAGTCAGTCAGAGAAAGATACCATATGATTTCACTCATATGTGTAACTTAAGAAACAAAACAGATGAACACAGGGAAAGTGAAAGAAAAATAAGATGAAAACAGAGGGAGGCAAACCATAAGAGGCTCTTAACTCTAGGAAACAAACTGAGGGTTCCAGATATTTTTATGCCAATACAGCTTTATATTATTTTCCCTTTTTTAAAACAGATGAGGATTGGTGGCAGGGAGATGGGTAGGAGGATGGGGTAACTGGGTGATGGGCATTAAGGAGGGCAGCTGATGTGGTGAGTACTGGGTGTTATAGGTAACTGATGAGTCACTAAATTCTACCCCTGAAACTAATAATACAGTATCTGTTAACAAAAATGGAATTTAAATAAAAATTTAACAAATAGTAAAAAATATTAGCTCTTATTCTATTGCCGTATTATTTTTAGTATTATTATAGTTACATATTTTTAACATTTTTTGTTATTATTACCTATACTTTGATGTTATTTTTCTACTTAACACTTTCAAGACAGCATTTCCTACAACTAAAGTATAATTTATTTAAATGTTCCCCTGTTGTTGAAAATGTATTTCCAGGATATTAATATATAAAATTACTTTGCTGCTTTCTTTCTATGTAAGACAAAGGGTAAAGATGGGCTGTGGGGAAGTGAAAGGGAGTAGAGTAACCTTCTCCTGCAGAAAGCAGCTGACAATGGGCTTCAGAACAGGACACGAGGCACTGCCTCCTCCCTTGACCCTATGTGCCTTCTTCTACTCACCCTAATCTCATAATGCATCAACACAGTCAAAGCGGATATAGTCATTGTGGAAGAGGAAGGATTAAAGGGCTTAATTAAAATATTACAAGGAAACCTTACAAACAATAACAACGGACTGTAATAATAATCACTCCATCTGGAATAAAATAGGTAATGTTTAAAAACAGGGCGTATGTGGTTTTTAGGTTTTGAAAATAGTTCACGAAAAAAAAACCTTAAATAACATTTAGTCCACAAAGATGCCATGATTTTAAAAGAACACCATGTTAACCAAGCACTCATATGACCTGTACCATTCTTGGAGGAACAGTAAGTGTATGAAGTCCATGAAGCCAAAGGCTGTGCTTCTCCGGTCCCATTGTTAGAGCCCTGGTCTCCGAATAGTGCCTAACACATTGAAGACAGGCAAGTGTTTGATGAAAGAGTAAGTGAAGACACTGCAAGAAATGACACACCGCCTAAGGAAGAAATAGCTTGATTGCTATATTATGGGAATATGTAAATCAGAATGGGGTCCCATAAAAACACAAAAGGTAAATTACAAGAAGAACCAAGACATTTGAAATGAGTTTTCTGTTTCTGACTTCATCACACTGTAGGGAGAATAGGAATTTTTACTTTGGATAAGATGCTTCCTGCCAAACCTGTGTGGTGTGCCTGTCTTAAGATACTGGTTTTGGAGATCTTTCAAGGACTCAAAGCATTAGATTTGGGGTTCAGGAAGAGCACGCATCCTGGGAAGCATGTATTACTCTGAATACATAGGTAAAGAAAGGGACATCTTTTAACCCTCAAAGGAAGAGGGTAACTTGTAGGCGATTAGGCTTAGACCTGCCAAGGAGGCTGCTTCTGTTTGGGGTATCAGGTCAGGGAAATGGCTTCTAATCTTAACTAGGAGGACTTATTAGTAAGGCCACTCCAGACCAGTGGGGAATAGGCCCAGAAATTATATACCACCTAGGAAAAACTAGAGAGAATTTGCTCTAAACTAAAGAAAAAGACAAAGAAGTTATATATGAAATATAGCAAAACTGCTAAGGCTCTAGTAAAAAGCACACGGCATATTCTTAGGCACATAATCCTCAATTCACATCAGAAGCAAGGCCTGGTGAGAGTTTATTCACTATGCAGATTCTGGAATCCCTTTTTTAGGTTCTCAATTTTTCATTACTGTACTCTAAGCCTTGAGGGATCCCATAACCTTTAAGGCTGAAATTTAATCCCCCTCTTCTGCACTGGGGTATCATGATGAATACGCAGTATCTGTAGATCAGTGATTGAATTTTTCAGAATAAAGAAGCCGCAAGATTACTTCTCATCACTACTCATTCTCCCTACAGGAAGTGTTTTGCAAGACTGATTAAAAACATTAGAGGATCAATGGGGGCTGCAGGCAAGGCAGGGGAGGGTCAGCCTGGGAGGTTTCTGCTGCTCTCCAGCTCTGGCTCTAAGGAGGGCGTTGGCTATTCACGGAGATAGACGAGAGAGTGACACCACCCCTGCACATTTACATGGGTTTTACTAGAGTTATATCTTTAGGACTACAATGCCACTAGGACAGTGTTCAATCTGAAACAGACCATTTGTAGACTGCCAGGGTGACTCTTCTGTGTGGATCCAAAGCCTTTTGCATTTATTTCTAATTTCACCCAGTGTGTGGTAAATTTTTAAAACTTTGTATTTCCTGAGGCTTCAACATCTTCAGACAGGCTGTGAGTGCCTGGCCCAGGTGAACAGGTGCCCAGGGTGATAAGGCTGGTCCCTGCCACAAGTTTCCCCTTCTTGCCCTCTGGACTGTGACCTAGTGACATTTAAACAGACCAATGAAATCCTTTCAAGCCTTTGCTTGTCTACCCACCCTGACTCCCAATAAAGCACTTCCCATGGGGCTTCACTCTATCTTCCAGCTCCCGACCTGTTTGAGCCTGCTTGCTGGGCACTCCTCCCATGCAGCCCCCAGCATGGCACACCATGCCTTCCTTTCTAGGACCTGTATGTATAACAAGGCCTTTAATTTCAGATGTCTGTGTCTGCATCAGACAAAATTCTCAATCTAAGTAACATAATTATTCTTTACAATATACCCAGTCACACTTTGTTATAACTGTTGATATCTCTCCTTCTAGAAGAGGCCCCTGTATCCCAGATGCTAGCTGCAGTGTTCGCAACAGAGCAGACAAGTATTTACTGAGCTTCCCCTAAGCATATAAAAACTCAGGAAAAACTGAATAAATAACCAGAGAGGCAAGAAGCTATTCTTTAGGCTGAGTTAACATCACCTCATTCCTACAAGAGTACTTCCCTACTTAACAAGGGTTCAAATAGTCTGTGGCTTTTGAAAAAAGTAACTTATTTCATATGTGTTAGTTCTGGTAATATTTATGGATCATTTACCATGTGTTAGGTGCTATTCTAAACACTTACACGATATATCAGTAAAGAAGACAAAAACCCCCGCCTTCATGGTGTTGACATTCAAATGGAGGATAATACACAATTGACAGACATACAAATAAATCTGTTAGTTAGGATGTGAAATGCTGGTAAGTGCTAAAATTGGGAGAATAACAGAGCAGGAGAGGGGAGACCAAAAATGACAGGTTGGGAATGTGCTTCCACTTTAAATAGGAACTAGGTGATGGGTATTAAGGAGGGCATGTACTTCATGGAGCCCTGGGTGTTATACACAAACAATGAATCATGGAACTCTACATCAAAAACTAATGATGTACTGTATGGTGACTAACATAACATAATAAAATTTTAAAAATAAATAGATAGATAGATAGGAGCTAGGGCAGACTACATTGCAAAAGTACTAGAGTAGCACAAAGACCCAGAAGTGATGAGGGAGGTAGCCGTGTGTGCAGATACCTGGGGCAGGTTCTTCAGACAGCAGACTGACTATGTTAAGGCCCTGAAGCAGTGACATGGCCCCAGGCATTTTCAAAGAGTATCAGGAGGCTAGCTGCTAAAATTAAATGAGAAATTAGTGGGAGAAATCAGAGTAAAATGTAAGTATCAAATTCGTAGAGACCTGTTAAGCCATTGTAAAGTCCCCGATTTTTACAGGCATTAAATGGGGAGCCGTTTTGAGCAGAGGAAGGATATGATCTATGTATTTCCAAAAGTCAGTCCAGAATTTCTCCACTTCTCAACACCCACAGCCTCATCACAACTATGGCTCAAAGCCACCAAAATCACCAGGGGGTGTAAGCCAGCATTACATCACACATGAAGTGGCACATAACAGGTGTCCAGTAAGTATTTTTTTGAATAAATGAAAAAATGAAACAGAGATTGGAGGAGAGTAAAAGAACACGGTCAATGGATCAGAGTACTGGTTGAGTTGAAGAACTGCTGGAGTCGGGGTACAAAAGAGTCAGATAAAACAGAGGTTATGGAGGGCTTATAAAACTTTCTATATCAACAAGGTCTAGGTGTGTTCACTGAATTGAGTAATTTAGTTAAAAAAGTAAATAAGATAACCAGAGGGGATAAGTTTAAGGAAACAAGAGGTCTGTGTATTGGAAGGTTCATT